GAGAGAGAGAGAGAGAGAGAGAGAGAGAGAGAAATAACTGAATTTATAATAAATAAGAATATATTTAAAAGTAGAAAATGTTGTTTTACGTGTTTTTTTCTTTGAGCGAAACATTTCTTATTTATTTCAAAGCAAATATAATATTGTTATATAAAAACCATTCAAACAATTGTATTCATTGTCATTAAGAAAACCGTATTTTTTACTTTGGGAAAGTTTAAGGCTTTTTTCACTCACTTGTGGCTGTGATACCCATAGAGAGTAAAAAATACTAATAAATAAATTAAACACAAACTTTCATAACATTTATATGTAATACTATTTCATCTCTCTCTCCCCTCCCTTCCCTCCCTCTCTCACTCCCTTTTAAATTAAATTAACTTTTTATATAACTGTAAAAATGCAATCGCTTTCACTTTATTTGCATTTCATTTTGTTTTGAAACAACTATTTGTTATAATATATCGCTTTTTTATAACCGATAAACGAGGAAATTATTCTTACTTTAAATAATTGCAATTTTATTCAACATTTTCTTAAAAATTCGAGCAATTATTCAGATTATAATCTAAATTAAATTATCGATTATTATTACTAAAAGTTTTGAGGGTTTGCAACAAATATTTTGTTAATAAACTGGTCTTTAGAACTAATTTTATAATGTTTTCATTTTTATGTTATTTTTCTTTAAAAAATGTTAAATTAGATATTGAATGACATTACAATCAAAGGAAACAAAACAATAAAATATGTGATGAAATTTGTAATACAAATACATTTTCAATTAACACACAAATCAGTCAATTTATAAAAGTAATTAAAAAACAAAGTTTAATAATTATTCATAAAAAATGTTATCAATTAATCAAATATTCAATTAAAAGATTGAGATCTGAAGGACAGAACAGTTACCACCGGAGAGTCTGTTCGGCCATTAATTCGATGGGAATTTTGATTGGATTCAGACATTCGCTAATCTTTCGTAACTTCGGATAGTTTTGCAAAATCTCGACCTTTTTGTCTGTAGTGGCGCTCAAACCGGTTGTGAATTCAACAAAATCCATGGCCACACCATCCGCTTCTTCGTCGTGAGCCTCTTCCCCATCGCCCGCACCGAAAGAGTGGTCAGAACTACGGGTTTGTCTCACCGATTGTGCGGACGTATCTCCGGCACCGGTTTCTCCATTTTCCGCAGCATTTTGTCGTTGTCTTCGCTTATATATATCGGCGAACACTTCTTCGCCTGATTTCTTGGCGCCCATCCACTGACCAGATGTCAAATAATCCAACTCTTTGTTGTGATCGACATCTCTGAGCAACTCTTTGAGCTCTTCAATGAGTTTGACGAAAACAAACGCATCGATTGGACGTAATTGTGGGACATATCGACCGCTCAGTGCGTCTCCAATACACGCGTAGATCTGTTTAAAGTCGGGCTTTAAGTCTGAATCAGTTGCTTCTTCATCGCCATCGGAGCCATTAGTGGCCAATCCTTTGGCACTCATTTCGCTTAATATGTCGACTAAAACGGCCGACAAATCATCCTTTTTAGTGGCGTTAGGAATGGTTTGATGTATTAATTCAAACCACGTCTCGATTGGCTGTTTACCGTCACTCGTGTCCGAGTCCTGTCCTTTACGGCTATAGTTGTCAATCATTGCGCTATAAATAAGACACAAATCAAATATCAATCATTTGAGTCACAAATACTCTTCAAATAATAAATACTAAAATATAATCAATTTGAGTGAATGACATGTTTTGCTGTTTATAATGAAATGCAATAATAATTACTTGATTTCACTGATCGTACGGTTGGGTAGAGTCTGTGTTAAGAGCTCTTCATTCTTGAGACAACTGAAGCCCTTTTCGCACAACAAATCGTAAAACGCTTTCTTCTCTCTATTCGTAAAACAAATGCTAATTAAATGTCAATTCAATTATCAATCAATTAGTGAAACAAACTTTTTGGTGATCACAGTTGACATCTTGTTGTTGGGCCGACGCCCGCGACGGACAACCGAGACATCACTGGTTGAAGCTTTCGATGACTTCGCGCGACGGCTAACGGATCCACTACTGGTCGAGGCCTTCGATAACTTCCCTCGACGGCCAACGGATCCATCACTGGTAGAGGTCTTCGCTGACTTCCCTCGACAGCCAACGGATCCATCACTGGTGGAGGCCTTCGCTGACTTTGCGCGGCGGCTAATCGTCCCCTCACTGGTTGCGGTCTTCGCTGACTTCCGGCGGCGGCCAACGGGTCCATCAGTGGATGAAACCGTCGATGACTGTTCGTTAAGACTAGCGGATCCATCACTGGTAGCGGCTGTCGACGCCTTTCCTCGACGTCCGACCGCTGTATCACTGGTGGAGGCCTTCGCCGGTCGTCCGCGACGGCCAACCGATGCACCACTGGTTGAGGCGACGGATCGGCGTTTCATATCTGATTGATTACCACAACATTCAAGTGATAATCACTTCCAGTTTGACGTCGACTTCACGTGTGGTTCACAACGAGTTTAGCGCTTATTTTCATATAAATACACAAATGGGGGAAATAAGCGTCACTTAGTTTGCGAACAGCGCCTAAAGTGATGGTCATCTTGTGCTCAAACATACAGGGGTGAGAAATGGGGGACAAATACTGCACTCCATTCCAGTACGGTATGTATGAAGAGAAATGTTCAATAAATATAATGTGTGGTGTATTGCCGTCTATGGTCTCAAATATATACTATTTTTATTGAAACTTTAACCCTTTTTTAAAGCATCTAATACATGTATTAGGTTTAGTTTACTGTTATAATTAGTTATAATAACTTATTATTAATAAGTAATTGTAAATTTGATTAAATTGTAGAGCGGATGAAAAATGATAGAGAAAGAGCTATTCGTGTGGTTTTGCCACTTGTGGTCACCCCTAACGTGTCCATCATTGACCACAAAGAGTCAAAACTGGTCGCTCGCATGGCTTTATAAAATTAGGTGAATATCTGTATGTCTTAAATAAGTTGTTAACTAATTAGCGGTCAGTGTTTAACAGGACTGAGAACCCGACAAACATACAGTCGAATCGGTTTTTGTCAACTTTTCATTTGTTTTTTGTCAAATAGTGTTTTGGATTGTATTTAAAGTCTTTATTAGCTTTCATATAATATCAGAATACTCTTAAATAAACTTTTTATTTCTATAAATATTTTTATATTTGCCATAATTTGACTTTTATTTCTCATTGAATAAGAAATGATCAGAATATGTGCTTTTAATCAGTTAGTTTAGAGTTATTTAAAATACATTTAAATATTTTATTGACTTATTTATGTAATTCATGAATAAATTCACTTAATTATTGCCATTATGTTAATTGTATAAAAATTAGTACAAATAAGACATAATATGCATATTATGCACTAACTATATAATATACTGTATTATGAAAAATTGATTGAATAAAGTAACTAGTGAACTTAAATAGTACTTACTATATAAATACTAATATCAATAAATTAAATATACTTTCAATAGTTGTTGCTTTTCTATTCGTTTCTATGGATTCTTTAAGTCATGTGCTTATAATGTATTGTATGTCTTGTAAATAATGTCTGATCTATATATTACCAGTAATTATACCAACATTTCATTTAATTCTTGATATATAAAAATGTTTGAATTGAATTCTTTATTAGAATTGTATGCAATATACAAATTAATATTAATATTTAACTAATAGTAATGCAAATGAATGAAAAGGTCTGTCGAGTTTGTGGCGATCGAGCGATCGGTAATTTATTTTAATTAAAATATAATTAACAAAACTTTATTAAAACAAATATACAATGAATAAAATGCACATTTAGGATACAATTTCAATGCCCTGACGTGTGAATCGTGTCGATTTTTCTTCAGACGAAATGTGTCCAGAATTGAGGTATAAAAGTATTTGATATATAAAACAACAATCAATTGTTTGATTTTAATTTCATAACTTTAATCACATCAGGAATTCCGGTGTTTAGTAGAGGATTCGTGTCATATAAACTGTTTGACCAGAAAATTGTGCAAAAAGTGTCGAATTGAGAAATGCCTGTTCGTTGGCATGAAATTAGTGAGTGTTTTCACATTTGATTTACAAAATAATTAATATATTTGGTGTTCATATCGTAAGGAACTGTCAAATGAGGGCCGATATGCGAGAAGGAATCGGAAGAGACGTTGGCTTGAAGTGACTTCCGATCAGTTCAATAACGATAACATTAAGCGCAAGATTGTTGCTAAAGATGTGCTGTCGAGCGAACGCACGGCCAGAATGCCGGCCCTCATCACTGGCCTTCTCTTTGCGTTCAATGAATTAGAAATTAAAACATTTCGGGAATTATTGACATCAATGGCAGTAATGAAAGACCCGGTGCTTAGCGTTACATCCGAGACGAAGACATTCGAGTCGACTGTCAGTATTTTGCGGATGAGATGTCAACTAAAATGCCGACGAATTATAAAAATGTCATCAATTTTTAATGGATTCTCGTGTTTGTGTAAAGAGGATAAGAAGTCTTTGTTGAGGTCCGGCTTTTATCCAATTATTCCTCTCATTAATATAATTAATTTCAAATCTGACGGCGAGTTTTGGACGATTCCCATCGTATGATGTTTTAAATCGTTGACTAATTAGTAAAACAACTTATAATGTGTACAACCATTACATTACAGGACACACAAAACGCAACTAAATTAAGTGTAAATGCGTTGAAGTGGGGAACCGGAGGTCTATATGAGTCTCACAGAAATTTTATGTTATCAATGAACGAAGAATTGAATTCCGATATTAATCTCATAGATTTGGTATACAATTAAATTATTTACATTTTATTTTATATAATCAATTAAGTGATGATTTTAATTGATCTAATAGTTAACAGCAATAGTACTCATTAATCCAAATCATAAAGATCTGATCCATAAAGATATGGTTAAGTGAGTGATAATATTTATAAAATAATATCAATTGATTTAATATATAGA